TTGGTCAACTTATCGCAGCAACGAAGCACTTTTTTGCCAAACCTCAGGGCTCAGAGACACGGAGAGGTTTCGTTTACTCTTTATTCTACATCTTCTCAGTAGAGTTCAGTTCAGTTGAGTCCAGTTGTGTTGCAATCGATTGGTTCTGTGTTTGTACAGCTGATCACACGTCAGTCGTATTTACTATAACAATAGAAATCTACATAGTTGTTGTTTCTTTCTGCTGTGATGTCCACCAGGTCTGAGTCCAACTCTTTACTCTGGTTTGTTTTCTCCATCGAAGCATTTGAAGAAATGATTCTTTGTATTATTGCTACATGTTACAAACATGTCGAACAATAGCAATTATATGAGAGAGTCATAATATGTGGAGATAAAATGGTTATTATAAGACTTCCCTTCTCACATTAATGGACCTTTGGACTTGTTTTGAGGATTTACAGGAAGTTGAATGAACGTCTCTGTTGGTTTGTTGGGTGGAACTCTACAGAGCATCAGGACGGTTCTCCTGTTTGTATAAATGATGTGAAAAGGTGTAAATGTTTTAAACATGTGCTCAGCTCTGGTGGCAGTGAGACTTCATCATTCTCCATCTGTAACATAACTTCCTGTTTGTGAAAGCTCAGTGAGGCCGATCCCGTCCAGAGACAAGTCCTCCTGTCCAAGACCAGGTCAAACCTCTAGAGTCCAGCTTGAAGACCCAACAGCTTATAGTTAAAGTCCACTTTATTTTGGTAAGATTCTTTTACAACCTGGCTCTTATTTTGGTAGTTTGGGGACTTCGTGGACAAAGTGAAAAAAGTTTAAAAAGCGTAAATAGTTTTAAATAGTAACTCATGCTCAGCTTAAAGGTTGTTTTATTTAGCTTCACTAGATGAAAGTCTCTGTTCTCACATTTTAAATATTTGAACTGAAGCGACTTGATTCTGGACGGGCCGGAACCTGCGGAACGTCTCCGCTTTGACAAGAACCTGAGTCTTAAAATCTTTTTTGACCAAAACGTTTCCAAGAATTCCTGAGAACACAAGTTTGAATTCCCAAAACACGATTTTCAACCCCAAACAAAAGTCCCAAGTTTCCAGAACGCAAGTTCATTTTCGGGGATGCAAATTAAAATGTTCAGGAATGCAAGTTGAAGTGTTTCCAGAACGCTGGAAGTTTGAACTCGTGAGTTAACGTGAGTTGGAGGAACATCGGCTGTCGTATCTCGTGTGTTGTCAGTCGACTTTGACTCATTTTAGATTCCGTCACTCGGTCTGAGATCTAAATCTCAAAAGCTCTGTATTTGCTGTCACGTTCTTGTCGAGGCGGAGACGTTTACGGCCTTTGTTTTGGCCACAAAGCGAAACCCAGTGAAGATGACATGGCACTAGTCTGTCTCAGGACCACTTCCTGGGTGTTTCATTAGAGATCCCACTGTACTTCTGGGCAGAAACTGAACCGTTGAATTAAATCAACTAAACCTTCCAGTAATTATGGACCAATCACAGCTTCCGCCTGTTAATCAGCTGGGATCTATAATTTTTGGGGGAGGCGGATGGTCTCTTGGGTCGAGGCCGTCCGCTGTGACGCCCGCGTGAAAACACTGAAGAATTAAAAAACGTGTACATACTGCAACCCTGTAAATAGGCAAATATTAACGGAGACTCTATTTTACATATGAGCTGAGAGCGAGACGCCAACTCAAGGAGAAATATTTGATTTGATGTTTTTTATTTGTTAAAGAGAAAGTGTACAGTGACAACGGAAAGAAAGAAATGAGGATGAATTTATGACTTTATGAATTGTACAGTTAAATCTCTTCAGTTTGGTTGTTTTGTTGTTTTCTATCTGAAGCTTGGGGTTGTTGATTTGTTTGTTTTTGTACAGAAGTGGTTGTTTACATCGATACAAGTTCTGAATTCTGTGACCATCAGACAGACCATGTGATTGGAGCAGAGGTCTGGGGGGAGGCGGGGCCTGGAGGGATTGGTGTCGTATTACCAAATATTCATGAAAAAAGTAGTTCCGACTGCTGTGATGTAACAAATAGTGTTAAAATAACATCCTGATATCGCCAGAGTATCTATAGGAAAAAGTTGTATTTTTGTTACATTAATTATTTATTAATATTAATGTTTTTTTTTACTAAGAACTGATAATATATGTATATATATATATATATGTATATATATGTATACATATATATATATGTATATATGTATATATATGTATATATGTATATATGTGTATATGTGTATATATGTGTATATATGTATATATGTGTATATATGTATATATATGTATATATGTATATATGTATATATATGTATATATATGTATATATATGTATATATATGTGTATATGTATATGTATATGTATATATATGTATAT